TCTATCTGTCATCTGGGTACTCTCACCACACCCTTCACCATCATTTTGGCGTATATACTTTATCTCTGCCACAGCAGTATACAACTGATTTAAGTTTGATTTTCTTTATTGTCATTAGATGAACAAGTTCTGTAGAGGAGAGAGAGCTTCAGAAGAACGAGTGGAAACAGTAAGAAAAAATATTGGGGCATGTGAAGAGATCTTAGGATATTACAAAATTTTAATTATTGTTTTTCAACAGTTTTTACAAGTGCACTATCACTTAAATATCTTTTGAGGACATAGATCATTGATACATTATTTTTCAGCAGAAGAAGGTATCTCTTTTTCAAGGAATTTTTTTTCCTTCATTTTTACATTGGATAACATACTCCAAAAAGCCCTCAACAGAAGAACTGGAACCAAGGAGTCCCTTCCTCTGAGGAAGCACCCAAACCAGTGGGTGGTGAAGTTTTCCTTGATACTGTTTGCTTTCTGTCTTGCTGAATGTATCGGGAATGCTTTAATGAAAAATCACACCACTTCAGGTTCTACGAGCTCCTAGTATTTTGTCGTAGTCATAGAAATGTTTGAATCCATCATTTTGATTTGAATTGCAAAGCGTTTGTGACAGTTGAACTTAGTTTTTTGGTTATTTGATCTTTCAGAAATTGCCTTAGTGTGTGGTGGTTTAAGATTATTAAATTTTAAAGATGAAATGGAATCTGCATATTTTGAAAGTAGCCTCCTTGGCAATCTAATAGATCTCTAAATTTTGTAGCTTTCCATCTGCAGACAAGGCATCTGAGAGAAAAGTTATGACTGAACAGCAGAAGATCACATTGAAGGTAAATACATCTATCTGTCATCTGGGTACTCTCACCACACTCTTCACCATCATTTTTCCATTCAAATGGAATGGAATACCAGCATCTTTGGGAGGCAGGGGGAAGCAGGCAAAAGACCTGAAATATTTCTCTAAAACTTCAAATCTGAAGTTATTTTGTCTTAATTTTTACTAATATTTGGATGGAAGAGTTTGATCAGAAGTTAGATTCTTTGTGCTTTATCTTGTAGCCACTATACAGACAAATGCTTAAAAAACCAGCCCTGTCAAACATAAGAGAAGTACTTCAATAACTGTGGACTTTCTAAATAAATAAAGGGTCAGGGTCAGACTTTTCATGTCTTTAGCTTAATAAGGCAAATAATTATGTTTTATTCATTGGAGGAGAGGGGTGAGAGAGAATAATGTATTTATAGCTTTAGTGAAAATAGGAGAGAGACCACCTGAATTGATCTGTAGCTGCCCTCATTAAGAAAAGGTTAAATGATTATTCAGAAGGCTTCACTCCAGTTCCACAAAGAACTTCTGATTTCATTTCAAAACTGTCATATCTGACTTTTTCTTTGGCTGTTGTAAAAGTGGCAACAGTAAGTCATGTAGCTTTACAGTGGCCCTTTCAGAGTATTATCATTTAAAATGCAGGTAGTCACCAACTACCATCAGTTTTGTGCAAGCAGCAGAAGAGATGTGATTTTGAGTGCTGGTTCCTGTTTTTGCGTACTATATTTTACTCCTGTTGGTGACTACTTTGACCCCCTCTGGCTTTTTTGAGAATTCATCTTTGACATACTTGTTGGAAAAAATGTTCCACATCTGTTGCCCTTGACTAAAATTTTGGATGTCAAAGCTGATGACCCTTTGCTGCCATATGTCTCAGTTTACCCAGAATTTCTCAGAAAAGACGTGAAATTTGTAGGGCTGCTTAATCACAGATAGTTATTAGGTTCATTTTAATGGTAAAATTTCCTGTGTATTTGCACTGATAATAAAGATTTTGTCTCTGTGTTGTAGGCTGAAGACAGAAGATATACTGTGGATGAGCCCGAGAGAGAAATAGCTGCTTTTCCGTATTCCTTCCTAAGGTGCTAGATTTAGAGCAGGAAGGAATATTTGAAGCATTCCTTCTTGCTTTCTATACAGCTGCTTCTTAGGCCATAATACTTCACTACCATTTCTAAGTCTCTTCTCACATGACTTTTGTTTGGTTGGGCTTTTTAGATCAATGGCCTTTCCCAACTTCAAAATTCATTATTTTCTTATGAGAAAATTCCACTGGGAATTGGCACTGGGAAGCCAATTAAGAAAGAGAGCTCTGAAATATATGAGTATTTTTGTCAGGAGTGAGAGCAATGACACATTAACACAGCTGTTAGTTCTGTACAGCCGAGCATATATCTGAGCTTAGAGACTATATATTTCTTACACAGTACTACAACTAAATACTGGATTGGTATTCCAATTGGTATTTCCTTTCAGGAAGAAGGTTCTCCAGACATCCCACCTTTTGCATCTATGATCTGCGAAAATTGCAGACCAGAGGCATTTCCCGTACCTTTTTCTGAAAATGTAACACTGAGATTTAGAATATTGTCTACAAAACAAGAACAGTGTTGGAAATCAGGCCAGAACCCAAGGGCTCCCAGCTGATTTTCCTCATTGCTGACCTAAGTATCGTGCATGAGTCACTGATTTGCTCTCTGGCCTTTTCATACAAAGGCATTTTACCTGAGGAAAAAATTGTACTGTGAGTATAAAAAGCACCCTTATGGATAGTGGCAGTTTGTATAGCATCTGAAGTAACACTGAGGTTTTTTGAGGTATTAGAGCAGTGCATCTAGTGAGGTGTTACAATACTCTTGAACCACAGTCTTTCAGGCTTCAATGTAAGCAGTGGATTTTGCTGCTGGAGCAGGGTTTGGGGTTGTTCTGGTGGGTTTTTGTCCAAGAGGAAGTGGGATAATGGCACAGCACAGCTCCAGAAGAAAGTGCGATGCAAGGTAGTATAAAGAGTTTTTGGAATGTTGCTCTCTCTTACCCTCTGATTTTCTGATTAGAGAGACATCATTGTATTCTCAGCAGTCTTCAGCAAGGAGGACTATTGAGGCTGAGTAAGTATGCTTAAACCATTTTTCTGCTAGTTTGTGACATTAAACTAGAAACTCTTCCACAAAACTGATGAACTTGAAACAGTAAATAAGGACTTAAAGTGTTGTTCATAATTGACAGTAGAATTGACATGACTATGAATTGTTATATAACACTTAAAAATTTCAAGGTGAATCTAAAAATGAAGAAAATTCATTATAACTTCAGAAGATAGACTTCTCTTCTTGTCCTGTAGCTATACTTTAAATGTTTCCAATTCTTTTTTTGGTCTGTAATCTCTGAAGGAAATGTTGGCAAAATAAAATATCAAGTTGAAGGTCATTCTTACCACATTTCTGCTCTGAAATTTGATGACAATTAGAAGAAGTTTGAGTTATATTCAGAAACACTGCCAATGCTTTATCGTGTCCTTGGGAAAGTAACTTAACTCTTTGTGCTTTAGGACAGGCTTGTTCTTGCCTAACTTTGAGGATGTAATACAGGTATCGAAGATCAGCTCTAGACTATAGAGGGAACCAAAATGACCTGGATGACTAATTTTACATAATGAAAGTCATGCAAGATGTATCCCATTTTTTATTCTCTGTTTATTAAGACTGGAGGACGATTTAATAGAGCTTGATTGGATACTTTGGGATATTTAGAAAGATGCTCCACACTTTTGGAGAGTCTTCCATTTAGAGCAATTGGTATAAAAAAGGCTTTAAGAGGTATTAAAATACAAATCTGATCAAAGATGTGAAAGCCACATCTCATACTAACAGAGATTTTGTACATCAAAGAGTTTTTGTTTGAAAGGAATAGAGGCTGTCAAATAAGCACTTGTTTTTCTGAGCTTCCATTGAAAACTGGTAATTTTCAGCTGCAGTCAGATTTTGTAGAAGCTCCTTTGGAAGCCTTTATTCAGAGCATCATACTGCCCAGTTAGCACCCCTTTCTTCTTGAGTGCAAAACAGGTTCTGAACACTTTCCAAGATTTGCTGATTTCCTCACTCAGGAGGAAATCTGTGCTAATTTGTACCACAACAGAAAGTTAGCACAAACATGAAGCACCATAGTGACCTTTCTAACCATCTAATATGTTACACAGGGGTTTTTATTATTATTCAAATTGAATGAAAGGCTTAGTTTGTCCTGATCAAATTACCTTTTTGAAAAATAGCAGCTGGTGCCAAGAACTATACAATCATCTTAATGGCATTTCCCATAAAGGTGATTGGACCTACTGCATTGTGTAATATTTGTCTCTATTTTACAACATGTAACACTGGGTTTTCTATTTTCCCTGCAGAGAAGAGGAGCTTTTATATTTAGCTTTCATTGAAGATGTAACAAATGAAATTCTTAGCCTTGGGCTGTTTTCTGACAGGTAGGTTATGGTCGTTTTCAAATTTGTAATGCTGTGTCAGAAACGCATGGAGTCTGTAAGAAAGGGACGTAGTGTTTAGTAATAATTTCTTTGCCTTTAAGAATATATAGATACACTGTTACCCCTTGCTTTTGTTTTGCTTCCTTTTCTTTTTTGCTTTATGTAAGAAAGGGGAACTAGGAAAGACCTGTGGGTCATCTACTTCAATCTGCTGCTACGTACTGTGAGATAAAACCTCTGTTAGAAACTGACCTGGAATCCTAGGTGGCGTAATGCTAAGAAGAAATCATTTTACTCTGCAACATCTGTTTTGCTAAATAAACGCAAGTTACTAATCTTTCACACAATAGATCCTCCATCTCCCTTCTGTCCTTGTTCCTGTTTCAGTATGAATTCAATCTTCAACATGGGTTGTCAGGATTACGTACTGTTTCAGATAAGGGTTCACCAGTTGCTAAATCAAAATTTTTCAATAATTAGCAAGTTATGATACAATTCATGTACTTGAGTAGTACTCCTACATTCTTTTCGGTAACAGTTCTTTCTGATAAAGAACTCTCAAGTTTATAGAAAAAAAACAAAACCCTGCACTATCTCTGATACAGAATTTTAACCCATTTTTGTAATTCCATTTTCAAGGCAGTCTAATTTCAGCATAATATTCTGATCTTCCTATGGGTTGATAATGTTCCCAGCTGTTTTTCTATTCTGTGCGCTCTTTTTTTCCCTCATGTCAGTGCTATCAATGAGAATGTTAAATACACTAAATCCAAAAATTACTATTTGAGAAATTTCAAGAGAAGTCTCCCTCTGGTTCTTTCTAATAGTAATGTTGTCTTCCCTTCCTTACACTATTTCTCATGTAAGCTAGATTAAATTCATTTGGTCTTCTGGACATCTGTTCCAGTGACTGTGCACCTTAGTTGTCACAGGACACTTTCTCTGTGCTGAAACTTTTTCTAATCCTGCTTAAGCAATGGAAGAGAGCTCTCAGGACTGAGGACTCTTCTCTGGATTTTTTTTATGAAGATGGATTATATTCCTTCCCTATATTTACGCTTGTGTATATTACCCACTACGGTGCACCTAAGAGATTTCGGATACTTCAGCCTGCCAGTAAAACCACCACTAGACTGTTGGTTTCTCCCACCGCATAGTCCCAACAGACCAAACACACCCAGAGTTGTGCAACAACTCACCCCGTGGTTACCATCTGCTACCCAAAGCTGGCTCTGCCTGTGGAGCCCATGTCCAGTGGGATATGGACAGAGCATAATTGAAATGATCTTAATGGTCTCATTCAGCTAGGAAATGAAAATAAAAAACTAAGGTCATGAATTTATGTAGATCTGTTAAAAGTTGGTTTTCTTCCTGTGAAATCATTTCATTGTTCATTTGTAGAGTTCTGGAACAACTGTTTGAGTGTCATGTACAAGAAAATAAGAACCGTTTGGATGAGGTGGGTACTGCCCCTGTAATATTCTCCCTCTCTGCATATGACTTCAGGAATGTTTCCAAAGTACAGTGGAAATGCAGTCATATATTTGCAGTTAAAGGTAACCAGAGTGCTCAGTGGGGAGCATCTCTCTCCATAAATGAGATTTGCAGCCTCATGGATCATGGTGGATCAGGAGTCAAAAAAAAGGGACACTAGTCAACTCAGTTTGGTGGCACTTGCTGTATAATTTAGTCACTTGATTGCAAAGAGCCTCCCTTTCCTTATGCCAGAATTAAGCCCCGAGTTCTGGGCAGCCAGGCACCGTGGGGCTGGAGAAGTGTCACCCCTTCCTTCCTTCACCTCCTAGAGCAAAATGCGCCACTTGTTGGATGTACTGAAAGCAGACCTCGGCTGCAGCCTGGGCAGCGGTGCGGAACAAATCCACACAGGCAGGGAAGCCTTTGACTCGCTGGATCTGCAAGAGTTTGATACAATGGAAGAGCTCAAGTTTACCAGGAAAAGTCAGAGGCAAAGAAAAGCAACAAAAAGTGAAGAATTCTTTGGGACCGTGGGCTTACCATTAAAGGAACCAAACAAATATGAATCACCAGTGTTCAGGGAAAGTTCAAAGGAGACACAGAGCAAGGATGACTTTTCAGAAGGTGTCGCTGACATGATGGATGCTAGGACAGAGTCTGATTCTTCTGTGAAATCTGAAGAAGACTCAGATGACACTTCACCCTCACGTGAGGCAACTTTAAACTTGGTTACTTGTGACAGTGATTTGGAAGCCAACAAGGAACTTGATGATCTTGAGGAAAGCTTTGCAGAGGCCCTTCAGATCACATGACTATTCATAATAGTTGTTAAATAGAGATAGAGCTTGTTCTGTGGAGAACTGCCATTTCTTAAATAGTAGTAAATTATTTCTTTTATTTTCAGTTTATTTCTGGTTAAATACTGCTAAAGTGTCTCTAGCAGGATATTGTTCATTGGGCATTGATGAATCGCTCTATTAATACAGACTCTAAAGGGTATAAGTGTCAGTTATAAAAAAATTTTGTATATTTTGTCTATAATTGTATAACAGAACTAACTTTTGAGAATATTAAAATTAGATGTATATTTTCAGAAAGTTGTAATAGTAAGTTATGAAATATGTATTGGTTTTTAATTAAAAAAATATTGCTAGTGCAGTTGTGGTCCTACTATAATGATCCAAAGTTTTGTAGTCTGCAAGAATTCAGCTTATGCAAATCAAAACATGGTATCCTCCATACCTGCAGAGCAGAGATGGAACTGTCTTGTCCATCCTGGAAGAGGGCATTGTTTGATGTTAAATCCCACTGAGGCACAAAGTTCTTGTAATCAGCTTTTTTCCTTTTGCAGTGGCTGTAGAATATAAAACCATACCTTTTCCTTGCATTACCTAGGGTGAAGTAAGGAATGAGTGTGGACAAGCAACTTTCCGAACACAAGGCTTTCTTTTGGTGCTCATAAATGATCATTCCTTCTTCAGCCCTCGACCATGAACTCAATTGTCTTATTCCTTGTACCAACAGGTATAAAGAGCCATTTTGCAGTAGTAGCTGCTCTCAGTCTTTGCCTAACCTCCTGTCAGCTTTCTGGCCTGAAAAGCACATTTATCTCTAACTACTGCCTTGTGGCAGCTCTTGTTTGTTTGTTTTATACGCAGCTCTTGAGCAGTTTAATCCTAGCTGTCCATGATTCAGCTGATATTTCTGGAAAGTGAAGACTGCAACAATTTTCAAACTGCACAACACTAAAATACATGGTTCAGTTTCTTGCATTAATGACCTTGGCATAGCATTCTGCATCAAGCTTTGGTTTTGAAAAAAGATTGGGTTGGGTACTGACTGATGGTTAGGACTATCTAGTAGAAGACACATCAGGCATCTTGTGCAGCAAATGAAGAAAAGGTGGTCTACTTTATGATTAAAGTTTAAATTGAAGTTAGCGCATGCATTGCACAGACTCAGCCCAAATTTCTTTGTCTAATCAGAGTACAGCTATTGCCTGGCTTCACATTACTGCAGAACGAGCTCAACAGGGTCTGAGGAAATGTCGGGATGTTACATCGTCTTGCTGTAGGTGAGGAACTATAAGAAGCCTTAAGAACGGGATGAAGCCTGTCCCTAAACACCTCTTAGGGTTGGTCTTAATCTGCTTCCTGTGAGGGCAAACCCAGCTCATACACACTGCTACCACCTCCCTCCCCTGTGGCTCAGCAGTGTCTAACAAAGACTATTGATTCTGTAAGCTAGATGACTCATTGCAGCTGTAAGTAACTCCAACAGACATAGACCACTGCTTCACCTGTGAAGCATAAACTTTTTTTGGGGGGAAAAACAGAAATCTCAAACTCTAGAGAAACACCAGTCGAACAAAAGCAACCTTTCTGGCACAGTCATCAGCATTGCAGCGCAGAACACAATTCCCAAAAAAAAGCAAAAGGCACTTTCCTGGCTGCTTTGGCCACAGTAATAAATTACGCTTGTTGACACTGATAGCAGACCAGGGTTTGCTTTAGCCATGTACACACGGCTGCGCAGTGTTTTTTTAGCCTGTAATCTGCCGCGCTCAGCTGGCTGGCTTGTAAATCCAGCCTGTAGGTTGAGTGCTCTGGCTCGCCGAAGAGTAGGTGAGATAACGTGAGGATTTCGCATCCCTCCACCAGAGCTTGTCTTGTGTGAGATAACGTGAGGATTTCGCATCCCTCCAACAAGACAAGCTCTGGTGAAGAGACACATGCCCACAGGGCTGATGCAGTACAGTGCAGGGATGGTTCATCTTCCATCACAGGTGATCAAAGCCCTTCTCCCATCCCCAGGGAAACTCCTTCTCTATTCCTTACCCCACAGAGCCGAAGGCAGGATGCACCTGGGGAGTTACTGTTTCTATTCTGTGAACAATTGTAACACAGAGGGACTGGTTAGAAAACTAAAGAGCATTGTTAGACGTATCCAAGTATAAAGCCTCTTTGCTTCTCAGCCAGGACTTCACCTGCTCTTGGGGCCTTCTATTCTGAGTTCTCCAATTTTGGTCAATAATGGAATTCAGGGGTGTTTTCCCTACCTGTCACTACACTGTATAATTTGCACGTCATAAAAAAAAAAGATCACTCAGCAAACTTTGGCTTGTGGTCAACATGAGTCTGATTAAAGATTAGTAAGAATTTCACATTTAAATTCCTCAAATAAAAACAAAAAAACACCACAGCAGTGAAAGTGGTCATGACATCACCTCACAGAAAGGTACAAATAATGACACACGCATTTCCTGTAGTATGAGTAACACAAAAATAAACAGTTCCTTGACCATATTTCCTGTTGATGATCTGTCTGAACATCAGTGACATTTTTTCTGGGTAGATGGAACTTAAAAGAGTAAATAAATTCACTAAAACAGACCTTTCACAAGGAAGGCATCTCTCTGCCTAAACCGTAACTGTGAGCATTTCTTGGATCCAGAGTGAAATTTCTGGTAAAGACACAGAAGATTGCGCACTCCAGTATCCTAGCAGCTGGAGCAGTCAGCCCAGTCCAAGGAACTGGTTTGTCATTGTACAGCCACTCCCACCAGATGGTGAGGAAAAAACATTCTAGATAGATAAACATTACATTTATAAAAATCAATTAGTTCATCTACAGATCCAATTCAGGCTATCCAGGGCTTAAAACTTTCTTGCTTTTAATTACATTTACTTTAAAGTGGTGCTTCAGACATAAGTTGTTTAAGCAGCTTGATATGCAAGCAAGCCTGACCCACATCACCGATAAGATTAATCAGCAGTGCAAGCTTTGGTTTTCTGGGGGGTTTCTTGGTGTCACCACCTTTTACTTGGTGATATACTCAGGTCTTGGGCCAAGCCATAGCAGAACAAGGTAGTCATGACACCATTACAAATCTGAATGCTTCAGAAGTAACAAACTCAGGAGCAGTCGGCAGCTGTGATCTGCAATGTAAAGACTTATTTCTGCCCAGATTTACGTGGGCGATGAGCACATGCATAACATTACTGTTTACTTCAAAAGGCCAAAAGCCCGCTATTATTACTTCGCTCTGTAACAAACCAGTCTCTTATCTTTAAGCCTACGGTTTTGTCATGACTGCTTTTGTTTTCAAAGGTAAGATTCTGTTTATCTACAAAGCAGAGTGGGGCTTTTGGTCATCTGAAGTAAAGATTAATGTGATGAAAGAAAAAGGTGTTTAGATGTCTTAGGACTGACCAGAAAACAAGAACCTGCAAGCAAAACCCAAGCTATCATTTTATCCCTGATCGACGCCACGTCTAAGACACCTACACATTTTTCATTTAGGCTTAGCTGCAGAATGCCTTCAGCATCCTGTTTCTCTGCATTTCTGTACATTTTCTGTACTTTTCTGTAATGCAGGCTGTTTCACTGCAGTGAAGGCACAGCTTGTAACCAACCAGACATCCCAGTAACACCCTTCAGTGCACTACTGGTCCACTGTGCCTGAGCGCCACTGAAAGGTAGCATTGCTGGGCCACAGCCTGGAGGAAGGAGAAGTAGCAATGGGAAATGAATGTTAAAGGGAATGTAGGAAGAAAGGAAAGCGGAAAGGGAAATTGTTATTTATTCTATCTTTTAAAAATGGTGAGACCTGTTACCAGGTAGAACACAGATGCAGAGTAAAAATTTAGTTGCCACTTTGTTAACATTGGTCTTCAAATATATTTTAGAGCTCCCTCAATTTTTCCACCTCTGTATTGTAGCATGTTGTCGTGGTTTTACCCCAGCCAGCAGCTGAGCACCACGCAGCCGCTCGCTCACTCCCCTCCATCGGGATGGGGGAGAGAATTGGAAAAGTTAAAGTGAGAAAACTCGTGGGTTGAGATAAAGACAGTTTAATAGGTAAAGCAAAAGCCGCACGCACAAGCAAAGCAAAGCAAGGAATTCATTCACCACTCCCCATGGGCAGGCAGGTGTTCAGCCATCTCCAGGACAGCAGGGCTCTGTCACGTGTAACGCTTACTCCGGAAGACAAACGCCATCACTCCAAACGCCGCCGCCCATCCCCTCTCTTCCCCCAAGCTCCTTATAAACTGAGCACGATGTCATATGGTATGGAATATCCCTTTGGTCAGTTTGGGTCACCTGTCCTGTCTGTGTCTCCTCCCAACTTCTTGTGCACCCCCAGCCATCCCACTGGCAGGGCAGTGCAAGAAGCAGAAAAGGCCTTGGCCCCGTGTAAACACTGCTCAAGAATAAGTCCATAGAACAAAAACATCTCTATATTATCACTGCTGTTTCCAGCACAAATCCAAAACATATCCCCACACTAGCTACTATGAAGAAAATCAATCCTCTCAGCTGAAACCAGGACACGTGTATTTGAGACCTAAAAAGTTAATGAAAGAGAGAAAAACCACAAAATTATAACTCAGGGTGTACTTAAGGGAGCTATGGGAAACTCCAGCATCCCACTTTAGTTTTTAGGCACCTGAGGCAGGAGCATGGGCTGATAAGCAAGTGCAGGGCACTGCAGCTGTGTGATGTCTCTAGAGCCACCAAACCTTTCTCTCTGGCACTTCCCAGGCACTTACCCTGCAGTTCTCAGGAGCTAACACCTGGTATGTACACAGATTACAAGGAACTGAACAGCAACCAGTGATTTTTATAATTTCTCACTCTCCAGAACAACCAAACCAGATACTCACAAGCAGTCCAGTCTTCCTGTTTCCTTTATCAATAGTGAAACCTGCTTCATTCAGAAACAACCATCTTCAGTTTCCATGCCAAGTAGCAAAGCTAGCGATACACAAACAGGTGAGTGGTAAATTGATCTCCTGCACCAGCCATTGCA